AAGCCTAAATTAAATTGAGGATAAACCTAACAATAATAATTTATTTTATGATTTTGTTTAATGAGATTTATTTTACAATTAAGAATAAATAATTAAATAAACAAAAAAAACATTAATAAAACAAGAAGGAATAAATTTATTAAATTAATTGATTGTTTTTCAAATAATATAACATTTTCATTACATTCAAGGAATTTCATAACACCTTCTCATATAATTTGATTGTTGAGCATATTGTAAGAATTTATGTGTTAATAACTCATCACATGAAGGTCTATCTCGTGGGTCATAAGCAAAACATTTATTAACAAAATCTACAAATGGTTCAGTTGCTTTTGTTTCATCTCTAAGATATTGTGCCCCAAACGCAGCTGTTTTAAACATTCCTTTAATAACACCATGTTCTTTATATGGTGGTTGGGATTCAAGTAATTCTTGTGCAACACATCCAATACTCCAAATATCAACTTTTTCGTCATAAGGTATTTGTTTAATAACTTCTGGTGCCATATACGATTTTGAACCAGCACGGTTTTGTGGTTGTGATGATTTTCTAACTACTAAACCAAAATCAATCACTTTAACACAACAACGATCATCCATCAAAATATTTGCAGTTTTTATATCTCTATGAATAAATCCTGTTTGATGAATATAAGCAATGCCTTGTAATGATTGTTTAAGAATATAAGCAATTTCACTAAATGACAACCCTTGATTCCGTGGTTTTAACATTGATTTTAATGTTCCTCCAGAACAAAATTCCATTCCGATGTATACTTTATGATCATATAAAAAACACCCAATTGTTTTAATTAAATTAGGATGATCCCACAATTTCATTCTTGCAACTTCACACCCTATTTTTGCATATCTTTCATCAACACTATGACGAAGTACTTTTAAAGCTACAGCAGCTCCATCTTCTTTTCTTGTTGCTTTGAATACCTCTCCAAATCCACCTTTACCTACTGAAACAAAGTTACTATAATACTTCTTAGGATCATCTTTAATACAATATTGTCCTAAATCATCTTCTTGTAATGGAACTTGAGGAGGAGGTGGTGGTCTTCTTGTAAGTTCTTCTTCTTCTTTTTTTGTTGTTTTACGATCTCCAACAGTGACACATCTTTTTTTTGTAACTGCACGAAGTATTTCACAAAGAACAGGAAAATTATCAAAACACTCTTCTGGATACAACATATTTTTAATACAAACTTCTCTACAACTTTGGTGTAAATCTCCTAATTTACCTGTAAAAAAATCTTTTACTGGAAACATTATTGGTTGACGAACATATTGATCACAGCTCAATAAACACTCATACGTATCATTCATATCTATATCACTATCAAAATGTAATAATATTCTTCTTATTGATGTAGTAATTTCTAAAACATTTCTTGGATGTCTTATAATATTAACTTTATCACACATAGGACACATAGTTAATGGAATTCTTCCTGTTTCTCCATATAATACAAATAATCCATTAAATATAATCATATCTCTCCTTGCCCATGCAGTTTGACCTCTTTTTTTACAAGCAACAGTTCTTTTTTTATTAACATAGTCTTGGTAAAAATCTTGTTCAAAAAATAACATAGTAGGACGTGTAGAAATACCTCGAAGTAATTGAAAAATTAGTAATGTATCGCTCTGTGATTGAGTAATAATAATATATGTTTTTGGATTCTCTACAAAGTCAGTCACAATTAATTTAATCCTCGAATTGTTATCTTCTAATGTAACATATGAAAAAGATGAGAATAAAAGTTCTTCTCTTGGATCTCCATGTCTTAGAAAGTATAGTTTTCGTATATCAAATCTGAACCATAACATTCGATATTCAGTTCTTTTATTAAACCCAACAGCTACATCAAAGAATATTTGGTTTAACGGTGTTCTTTTATCATTTGGTGTAAGCATTAATTGTTCAATTAATTGACGAGAGTCATAATCCAAATTATGAGCATAAGGAGCTTTCATCATTGTCTTAATCAAAGCACCACTAAATTTGTTTTTTCAAGTTTTAAAGACTTCCAAAAAAAACATAAAAAAATTTGAATTTTCTGAAAAATTAATAATAATGTTTTTCTTAATGCTTAATATGAATAATATAATAATTGTTTTCTATCATTTGTTAATAAATAATCTTCTTCTATTACAAATGGGATTGTTATAATTTCTGTAAATCCTTCTTCTTTTTTTGGTTGAACAAAATTTTTATAATACACGTTTATAGCAATTACTGGAATATTTTTATTTGTTGTTAATGCTCGAAAAGTATTTAAGTGGTTTGTTAATTTTTTATCACATGCAAAATAAAAACACCTAATAGGAATGTCATTCTTTTTCGCTAACTCAATAAATTCCTGTCTTCCTTCAACAGTTGGATTTGAATTGTCAATAACAAATGACCGATTTTCAATCAATTTCTTTGCCTCTCTCATACACTTTGTTTTATTGCCTAGTGTATCCATATTGATCCATTCATACCCCATTGGTTTTAGATATTTCTTATAAAATGAAGTTTTACCTGAAGCAGGAGATCCAACAAATAAAATTATTTCCCTACTTTCTTTGAATTGGATTTTTAAAAGGTCTAACCTTTCTCTTCCTGAGACTACAGGAAAGGAATTCATGTCTATGTCATCCCACTCAAACTCACAAGGTTTCATTCCAAGAAAATATTCTTCAGGTGTGTTAAATTTTATCCCAACATTTTTCGCAAATTTACGATCACTGCAACTAAAATCTTTCTTTTTTCCTTTCACCCAATGGTCTCTTCTTCCTGCTGCATCTCCAATAAAATAACTCTTTGACTTATCAATTTTGATACCTTGGTTATTTTTCTCTAATAATGACCACATTCCTGGAAGTGGTTTTCTATAAATGTTATCTGATATTGCAACAAACACTTGTACATATATCTCATACCCAGCTAATTGTTTTAGGATATGTTCTATTCGTTGACAAAATTCATTACACTTTTTGGTGTTTACTTCACCACGACTCATGACCCCTTTTTGGTTAGTGAAAATGACAATCTTTGCATCTCTTTCTACTTCTTGTTGAAGTGTTGATACCACTTTTTCATTCAACCACTTCCAATCCTCTGAAGATGTAGCAAAAGTTTTACCAGTTTTTGTCTAACCAAATCAATAAAACAAGTTAAATAAAAGAAAGAAATGAACAGCAAACAGTGACTAAAGTACCATCTAAATCGAAGGAAACAATTTTTGATTTGGCTTCACATCGTGGATCACTAAAAATCATATACATTTCATTTTTATTTTTTAGGTATTTTTTCCAAAATTCCATGGATTAATTTAAGTTAGATCTTTCACTCTAGTTCTTATAAAATACTAAGCAAAACATGTAGGTGAGTTAATGAATTAGAACAGTTATTTGTTAAAAAACAAGAGAAGTTATACCAAATACCAAAAAAATTTTTACTAAGAACAATAAAAACAAGACATTAAAATAAGTATAACTTGACACTAAAACAATAAAACAGAATGATGAAATAATACCTTCTTTTGGTTAACAAGACTTTACCTTTACAAAACAAAATAACAATATATTTTTACCTTTATTTAAATAATTAAAGTGAATAAGTTTATTGAGTAATAATATAAATAAATGTATCTAATTAATCTAAACAATAAAAACTAAAGAGTGTAATGGAAATTTTCATATGAAATATATTTCACTTATTGAAAGAAGTAATTTTACTTTGAATTTTTAAAGAATAACAACACAAAGTGAAATTGCAATTTATAATAATTTTTTTTTAAGAAAAAATAATATTTTTAAAATTACATGAATATTTTTTAAGTTTTTTTATTAAAATTGAAGAGTTAAAAAGAAGAAGTTAGAATTAATTAATTACAATTTGAAAATTAATTATGCCATCTCAAAAGAAGATAGAAAAAAGACCAAAAGATGTTCTTCGAGAAGTTAAACGAATATCAATGAACAGAGAACGGATAAGTAATGCAGGGATTATTGGAATGTATGTATTACTTGGAAATGAGGTTATTGTGAAAACACCTTCCAAATATCATATCAAACACTTCCTCATTTAAAATAGAAGACACAGTAGTATATGGACAAACGTATGGCATATTTAAAAATCATATGGTTTGAAATATACAGACTCGAGACAAAGAATATGTATG